ACCCCACAGACCCCATCGACTAACTCCAGCGAAGTTACAGGACTCCATCGGCCCAACACAAGACCTAACTCCAGCAGACGTCTCCAGGACCCATCGGCCCAACACATGACCTAACTCCAGCAGAAGTTACAGGACTCCATCGGCCCAACACAAGACCTAACTCCAGCAGAAGTTACAGGACCCCATCGGCCCAACACAAGACCTAACTCCAGCAGAAGTTACAGGACTCCATCGGCCCAACACAAGACCTAACCGCAGAATACAGGACTCATCGCCACACAAGACCTAACTCCAGCAGAAGTTACAGGACTCCATCGGCCCAACACAAGACCTAACTCCAGCAGAAGTTACAGGACCTCAAACCTTTATTTAACAGTTTTATTTTCCTATGTACAATGGAAACTAGGAGATGTAACATCATAGAGGGTTAAATAGTCATTTAGAAACAATATTATATACACATTTCAAAAAGTCCTAGGGAACAGTTTGTCATCAACCTATGTACATACAGGTTGCTGTGCTCTCGATGGCACGGTAGAATAAACTTGACAACGGAGAATGAAGCGCTATTACTTTTAACTTTATATCAATCCCGAAGCATGGTGAAATAACAGCAATGCACACAGGCACACTACAAAAACAGGAAGAAACAGCTAATTTGCATATCAGTGACCTTCAACCCTGAGAGGCTGATACTATTGGCTGGGAGTTCTGGACTATTATGTTAAAAGGTGTACATCTCCATACACTACACAGGTCAGAGAAAAACATTAAAACCATGACCAAGTGAGGTGACTCATTTCATTTTGACACTTATTTATTGCAGCCTAGTCTAAACTAACTACCGTTGAGATCTCTACAGATTTGGTTTCCACAGGTCTTACTCACTGCCTAGAAAATCAGCTAATTCATCGACAACAAAGTTGTACATGTACATATTCAATAGTGTGTTCCTCAAGGGCATGTCCTCTTTTAAAAGGGGATAATCCTCATTTCCAATTTTCCACTTAGTCATCAGTTTGCACTTATGTCAATGGGAGATCCTAAGTGAACCATATGACCAAAATTAAAGTTAGGATTAAAAAGGCTTCTACAGTTTGGACCCGTTTCCCCAGACAAAGGTTAAGCCACTTCTAAAAAAAAAAAACATGCTCAGTTGAGAATTTTTAAAAGTTAAAAGTGCTTTTCACTCCAGGAATAACATTAATCTGGGTCTGGTAAACCGCCCCCTGTATGTCCAATCCATTCAAGCAGTCCAATCCATACAAGCAGTCCAATCCATACAAGTAGTCCAATCCATACAGGCAGTCCTAAAGCCCAATAGATCAGACCAACCCTTGAGGTCAGTGTGATGATTATAAAAAATAAAATAAAAACACACATTTAGCTGAAGCAAAGCTTAGCAGCACTAATCAGTATGTAAAGCACATCATTAAAACAGTATCATCATCAGGTAAATATTTATATATTTGTCAGGTTTAGGCCAAATACATTCATCTGGACTATCAAAACAAACACAAGTCAGGATCAGAACTTCATTTTGAAACTGCTCATAACTCCATGCTTGTGATCGTAACTCAACGTTATCCTAATATGCTGCTTTCGTTCTCAAAACAGAGGGACTTCCTTTTGTTTGGGAGTTTATGAAAAGTTAGATGTACGTTTAGACCCAAAACTGTAAATACTAAGTTGCTGATATGCAAACCCTCGTGTACTGTAGTGTACGACCACTCCTTCTAAAACAGGAGAATGATACAGCTGCCCTGACAGACTGACAACTAACACAGCAGGACACAGAAATAGGAACTTCATAAAAACATCTGAGGTATGATATAGATTAAACACTAAAGGTGCATTTACAAAGAAAATCCAGGGCCCGTATTTATAAAGGCATCTCAAATTAGGAGTGCTGATCTGCAGTTGGATCAGTTTTACCTTTCAGATCGTAATGAATAAGACTACGTGGACAGTGGGGATCTGATCCTAGATCAGTGCTCCTACTCAATACGCTTTATGAATACAGGGCCAGAACGCTAGCTACCGCATCATTACCGTAGAAGGCACAGAACGCTAGCTACCGCATCATTACCGTAGAAGGCACAGATCCAGAGAGAGAGACAGAGAGAGACAGAGACAGAGACAGAGACAGAGAGAGAGAGAGAGAGAGAGAGAGAGAGAGAGAGAGAGAGAGAGAGAGAGAGAGAGAGAGAGAGAGAGAGAGAGAGAGAGAGAGAGAGAGAGAGATTGACCAGTCTGGTGTCAAATAGGTACCGTCCCGTTAAGGACCGACATGTCCTACATTACACACAGATCAAATGTGCCCATGTCACTCTACCCCATTTCCAACCAGTCTATCAACCACTCTGAGCAGTGTGTCTGCCAATGATGTAGTGGGGAAAAGAACAGCCCTCTAGATTATGCTATTACTAATGTAGTGTAATAGATCTGGAAACGCCCTTCGCAAAAAATAAAAAAGGTGCTTAAACAGCATTTACTCTCTGGACTACATCCCTGGAGCCTATTTCCAGAACCCAAGGGGGGGGGGGGGGGGACATCATTGACCCAGTGTGTCCTTGTCTTTCACTTATTTGTTTGTTTGTTTGTGTGGTGTGTGTGTGTCCTGTTGGGTAGAGTCCCCAGACAGTGTGTGTGTCTTTAGCAGTGTTCTGTTATCTGGGCCGGTGGTTGGCCAACAGGAAGTCCTTGTCTTTGCAGGTGAGGCAGAGTTTAAGGTTCCGGAGAGATCCCCCGGCGCAGAAGAACGCCCAGAGACCCATGAGGAACATGATTATGTAGGTGGGAACCAGGCTGCCCACGTACTGAGGGTTCTGGAATGTCTAGGAGAGAAATAACAAAGGGTGATGAGTTATTATGGATCTCTGGGGAAATTCATACTGAGGGTTCTGGTTCAGGAACCTCTGGGAGACAAATGGCAGACAAAGGCTGAGTTATTATGGATCTTTAGGGTCATTCATAATGAGGGTTCTAGAACGTCTGGGGAGAGACATGACAACAAAAGGCTGAGTTATTATGGATCTTTGGGGTCATTCATACTGAGGGTTCTAGAACGTCTGGGGAGAGACATGACAACAAAGGCTGGGTTATTATGGATCTTTAGGGTCATTCATAATGAGGGTTCTAGAACGTCTGGGGAGAGACATGACAACAAAGGCTGAGTTATTATGGATCTTTAGGGTCATTCATAATGAGGGTTCTAGAACGTCTGGGGAGAGACATGACAACAAAGGCTGAGTTATTATGGATCTTTGGGGTCATTCATACTGAGGGTTCTAGAACGTCTGGGGAGAGACATGACAACAAAGGCTGGGTTATTATGGATCTTTGGGGTCATTCATACTGAGGGTTCTAGAACGTCTGGGGAGAGACATGACAACAAAGGCTGGGTTATTATGGATCTTTAGGGTCATTCATAATGAGGGTTCTAGAACGTCTGGGGAGAGACATGACAACAAAGGCTGAGTTATTATGGATCTTTGGGGTCATTCATACTGAGGGTTCTAGAACGTCTGGGGAGAGACATGACAACAAAGGCTGGGTTATTATGGATCTTTGGGGACATGTTTTGTCCCATTTGAAGTGCTGCGGTGAAGGACAGGAATCAGTGGAGGAACCTTTGTGGCATTATGTCCTAATGGGGAAGAAGACGTTACTAAGTAAGTACTATGCTGTAGTACTGGAAGATACTCCCAACACACATTTACTTATCAACCCATCAGTCAAGTCCACCTATTGCATGAACACATTTATCCATCCATCTATCTATCTACAGTGAGGGAAAAAAGTATTTGATCCCCTGCTGATTTTGTACGTTTGCCCACTGAAAAAGAAATGATCAGTCTATACTTTTAATGGTAGGTTTATTTGAACAGTGAGAGACAGAATAACAACAAAAAAATCCAGAAAAACGCATGTCAAAAATGTTATAAATTGATTTGCATTTTAATGAGGGAAATAAGTATTTGACCCCTCTGCAAAACATGACTTAGTACTTGGTGGCAAAACCCTTGTTGGCAATCAGAGGTCAGACGTTTCTTGTAGTTGGCCACCAGGTTTGCACACATCTCAGGAGGGATTTTGTCCCACTCCTCTTTGCAGATTTTCTCCAAGTCATTAAGGTTTCAAGGCTGACGTTTGGCAACTCGAACCCTCAGCTCCCTCCACAGATTTTCTATGGGATTCAGGTCTGGAGACTGGCTAGGCCACTCCAGGACCTTAATGTGCTTCTTCTTGAGCCACTCCTTTGTTGCCTTGGCCGTGTGTTTTGGGTCATTGTCATGCTGGAATACCCATCCACGACCCATTTTCAATGCCCTGGCTGAGGGAAGGAGGTTCTCACCCAAGATTTGACGGTACATGGCCCCGTCCATCATCCCTTTGATGCGGTGAAGTTGTCCTGTCCCCTTAGCAGAAAAACACCCCCAAAGCATAATGTTTCCACCTCCATGTTTGACGGTGGGGATGGTGTTCTTGGGGTCATAGGCAGCAATCCTCCTCCTCCAAACACGGCGAGTTGAGTTGATGCCAAAAAGCTCCATTTTGGTCTCATCTGACCACAACACTTTCACCCAGTTCTCCTCTGAATCATTCAAATGTTCATTGGCAAACTTCAGACGGGCATGTATATGTGCTTTCTTGAGCAGGGGGACCTTGCAGGCGCTGCAGGATTTCAGTCCTTCACGGCGTAGTGTGTTACCAATGGAGCCCCAGGCCGAGGGAGATTGACAGTTATTTTGTGTTTCTTCAATTTGCGAATAATCGCACCAACTGTTGTCACCTTCTCACCAAGCTGCTTGGCGATGGTCTTGTAGCCCATTCCAGCCTTGTGTAGGTCTACAATCTTGTCCCTGCCATCCTTGGAGAGCTCTTTGGTCTTGGCCATGGTGGAGAGTTTGGAATCTGATTGATTGATTGCTTCTGTGGACAGGTATCTTTTATACAGGTAACAAATTGAGATTAGGAGCACTCCCTTTAAGAGTGTGCTCCTAATCTCAGCTCGTTACCTGTATAAAAGACACCTGGGAGCCAGAAATCTTTCTGATTGAGAGGGGGTCAAATACTTATTTCCATCATTAAAATGCAAATAATTTATAACATGTGTTTTTCTGGATTTTGTTGTTGTTATACTGTCTCTAACTGTTCAAATAAACCTACCATTAAAATTATAAACTGATCATTTCTTTGTCAGTGGGCAAACGTACAAAATCAGCAGGGGATCAAATACTTTTTTCCCCTCACTGTATCTATCCATCCATCCTTTCTTTCCATCTTTCTGTCTCTTTTCTGACTTACCAGACAGGAGACGAGCAGGTGGCTGATGACGACCACAGCCAGGGACCACCAGTGTTGTTTCTCACAGGAATCAAAGAACACCACCCCCCAGAACATGTGGAGCAGGATGACGGCCATGGTCATGAAGGCTATAGGGAGACAGAGAGTTAGCCTCAGGTCCATCCCAAAAATGACTACTGTCAGGAACGTTAGTGAGGTTTCAGGCTATCGAGTACGTTCTAAAACACGGCAGCCTCATACAGTACCTGAGGACAGGAAGTAGTGCTGGGAGTCTCCATGGATACCAATGGTGCCGGGGCCAATAGAGTCGGCCAGGATATTGACCATTGAAAACGCTCCACTCATGAAGCCGAACCCCAGCCCAGACACTGGGGAACAAACAAATGGACAACTGAGACACTTGATCAGACACTGGGGGAACAGACAGCAGAGACACTATCAGACACTGGGGAAACAGACAATAACAGAGACACTATTAGACACTGGGGAAACAGACAATAACAGAGACACTATCAGACACTGGGGGAAACAGACAATAACAGAGACACTATCAGACACTGGGGGAAACAGACAATAACAGAGACACTATCAGACACTGGGGGAAACAGACAATAACAGAGACACTATTAGACACTGGGGGAAACAGACAATAACAGAGACACTATCAGACACTGGGGGAAACAGACAATAACAGAGACACTATTAGACACTGGGGAAACAGACAATAACAGAGACACTATCAGACACTGGGGGAAAACAGACAATAACAGAGACACTATCAGACACTGGGGAAACAGACAATAACAGAGACTATCAGACACTGGGGGAAACAGACAATAACAGAGACACTATTAGACACTGGGGAAACAGACATAACAGAGACACTATTAGACACTGGGGGAAACAGACAATAACAGAGACACTATCAGACACTGGGGGAAACAGACAATAACAGAGACACTATTGGACACTGGGGAAACAGACAATAACAGAGACACTATCAGACACTGGGGGAAACAGACAATAACAGAGACACTATCAGACACTGGGGGAAACAGACAATAACAGAGACACTATTAGACACTGGGGGAAACAGACAATAACAGAGACACTATCAGACACTGGGGGAAACAGACAATAACAGAGACACTATCAGACACTGGGGGAAACAGACAATAACAGAGACACTATCAGACACTGGGGGAAACAGACTATAACAGAGACACTATTAGACACTGGGGGAAACAGACAATAACAGAGACACTATCAGACACTGGGGAAACAACAATAACAAGACACTATCAGACACTGGGGGAAACAGACAATAACAGAGACACTATCAGACACTGGGGGAAACAGACAATAACAGAGACACTATCAGACACTGGGGAAACAGACAATAACAGAGACACTATCAGACACTGGGGGAAACAGACAATAACAGAGACACTATCAGACACTGGGGGAAACAGACAATAACAGAGACACTATCAGACACTGGGGGAAACAGACAATAACAGAGACACTATTAAGACACTGGGGGAAACAGACAATAACAGAGACACTATTAGACACTGGGGAAACAGACAATAACAGAGACACTATTAGACACTGGGGGAAACCGACAATAACAGAGACACTATTAGACACTGGGGGAAACAGACAATAACAGAGACACTATCAGACACTGGGGGAAACAGACAATAATAGAGAAAGATGTAATGGCACTATGGTCTAAAATAACATCTGAGGGTTTTATTGTAATGTAATATGAAACATGATAACTAACTACTACTACAGAGGGAAAAGTATAGGCCTACAAAACTCTGCCTCAAATCTAATAACTTCCATCTGCTACTATTGCTTATTCATAATCTCTAATATCTTCCATCTGCTTCTATTCTCTATTCATAATCTCTAATATCTTCCATCTGCTTCTATTCCTTATTCATAATCTCTAATGTCTTCCACCTGCATCTATTCCTTATTCATAATCTCTAATATCTTCCATCTGCGTCTATTCCTTATTCATAATCTCTAATATCTTCCATCTGCTTCTATTCCTTATTCATAATCTCTAATGTCTTCCATCTGCTTCTATTCCTTATTCATAATCTCTAATATCTTCCATCTGCTTCTATTCCTTATTCATAATCTCTAATATCTTCCATCTGCTTCTATTCCTTATTCATAATCTCTAATATATTCCATCTGCTTCTATTCCTTATTCATAATCTCTAATATCTTCCATCTGCTTCTATTCCTTATTCATAATCTCTAATATCTTCCATCTGCTTCTATTCCTTATTCATAATCTCTAATATCTTCCATCTGCTTCTATTCCTTATTCATAATCTCTAATATCTTCCACCTGCTTCTATTCCTTATTCATCATCTCTAATATCTTCCATCTGCTTCTATTCCTTATTCATCATCTCTAATATCTTCCATCTGCTTCTATTCTCTCTTCATAATCTCTAATATCTTCCATCTGCTTCTATTCCTTATTCATCATCTCTAATATCTTCCATCTGCTTCTATTCCTTATTCATAATCTCTAATATATTCCATCTGCTTCTATTCCTTATTCATCATCTCTAATATATTCCATCTGCTTCTATTCTCTCTTCATAATCTCTAATATCTTCCATCTGCTTCTATTCCTTATTCATCATCTCTAATATCTTCCATCTGCTTCTATTCCTTATTCATAATCTCTAATATATTCCATCTGCTTCTATTCCTTATTCATCATCTCTAATATATTCCATCTGCTTCTATTCTCTCTTCATAATCTCTAATATCTTCCATCTGCTTCTATTCCTTATTCATCATCTCTAATATCTTCCATCTGCTTCTATTCCTTATTCATAATCTCTAAGATATTCCATCTGCTTCTATTCTCTATTCATAATCTCTAATATCTTCCATCTGCTTCTATTCATAATGTTATGCACAATTTTGAGGTCATCTTCCTCCACATACCATAGGCCAGTTGCCGTATGGAGATCGGCATGGTTTCCTCTGCACTCAGCGTGAGCAAGCCTTCGTTTGCCTTCCTGTAAGACAAAGAAATTGCACTACAATCAAACTACAGTATCATCAAATATAAACTCAGCAAAAAAAGAAACGTCCTCTCACTGTCAACTGCATTTATTTTCAGCAAACTTAACATGTGTAAATATTTCTATGAACATAAGATTCAACAACTGAGACATAAACTTAACAAGTTCCACAGACATGTGACTAACAGAAATGGAATAATGTGTCCCTGAACAAAGGGGGGGGGGGGTCAAAATCAATAGTAACAGTCAGTATCTGGTGTAGCCACCCCTATGCTTGAAAATATGGAGAGTGGTACTCAGTAATGTGTTGTATTTGCCCCAAACATAACCCTTTGTATTCAGGACAAACAGTTCAGCGCTTTGCCAAATGTTTTGCAGTTTTACTTTAGTGCCTTGTTGTAAACAGGATGCATGTTTTGGAATATGTTTTATTCGGTACAGACTTCCTTCTTTTCACTCTGTCATTTAGGTTAGTATTGTGGAGTAACTACAATGTTGTTGATCCATCCTCAGTTTAACCCTATAACAGCCATTAAACTCAGTAACTGTTTTAAAGTCACCATTGGCCTCATGGTGAAATCCCTGAGCGGTTTCCTTCCTCTCTGGCAACTGAGTTAGGAATGACGCCTGTGTCTTCGTAGTGACTGGGTGTACATCCAAAGTGTAATTAATAACTTCACCATGCTCAAAGTGATATTCAATGTCTGTTTGTTTTTTTACCCATCTACCAATAGGTGCCCTTCTTTGCGAGGTTTTGGAAAACCTCCCTTGTCTTTGTGGTTGAATCTGTGTTTGAAATTCACTGCTCGACTGAGGGACCTTAAAGATAATTGTATATGTGGGGTACAAAGATGAGGTATTCATTCAAAAATAATCTTAAACACTATTATTGCACACAGAGTGAGTCCATGCAACTTATTACGTGACTTGTTGACCACATGTTTTACTCCTGAAATTATTTAGGCTTGCCATAACAAAGGGGTTGAATACTTATTGACTCAAGACATTTCAGCTTTTCATTTTTAATTAATTTTGTAAACAAAAAAAATGAAAAACCTAATTCCTATGAAATGATGAGGTATTGTGTGTAGGCCTGTGACATGGGTAATGTGGAGATGCCGTCTTAAGGGCAGATATTCAGAAGGATGCAGAACGTTGTGGTGCAAAGGTGTCCATATTTAATTTCCTGTGTTCAAAGGTGATAGACAGCTATGAATATTTCCAAGATAAACAGGTAGACAATAGAGTTACTTCTCAAACTAAACAAACAGGCCATAGCTTCCAGAGCTCTTACAGGTTGGGGGTGTAGCTGGCTCAGGCAGCCCCCCCCCCCCACTCTATCACCAAACCCAATCTACCCAGAAACCCCAAAACAGCCGCTTATATCCTCTAAGCCCCTCCCTGGGACATACCCATGTCCAATGACAAGTAAGCACATAACTGGTAATATAAATGTAACTGGCTTCCTCATAATTACCCCCGTTACTACATCCCGTCTAAAAACAGACGTGACCACTTCCATGTACGCTTTAAATTGAGAACACGTTAAAACATCAATCATGAATTCTTACATGAACGTAACCGGCGAATGACGGCAACTCAGTAACATATAGCGGTGTGCAACGGCGAGCACACTCCCGCCGCACAACTCAAATGACACAGACAAGACAGGAGCTCCAACACAACGTGGGAAGTAGACAGGAGCTCCAACACAACGTGGGAAGTAGACAGGAGCTCCAACACAACGTGGGAAGTAGACAGGAGCTCCAACACAACGTGGGAAGTAGACAGGAGCTCCAACACAACGTGGGAAGTAGACAGGAGTTCCAACACAACGTGGGAAGTAGACAAGAGCTCCAACACAACGTGGGAAGTAGACAGGAGTTCCAACACAACGTGGGAAGTATGAGCAAAGGAAAGCATTAACAGAATGAAACAAACAGAGTCTCTCTAACTCGTGAGTGTTACGATGATTCTGTGCACCCAAAACAACGTTTCACTCTGGTCGGCTAGAGACAGGAAAATAACCCCCATTATGTGTGGAAGTGATTTTCTCCTGCTAACACAGGAGCTATAGAAGAATATAGTCGTGCAGTATAATGTTTCTAGAAAGAAATGGCAGAATGCATAAGGGAAATGGAATGCGCTATTTTAATATAGGGCCATAACGGCTGATCAGACAGTGTGTGCGTTCGTGATGAGTGGGCATAAATCCACAATCTAAATTGTATCCATTTTGAAATTCAGGCTGTAACAACAAAATGTGGAAAAAGTCAAGGGTTGTGAATACTTTCCGAAGGCGCTGATATTCCTCTCAACAATGTACTTCCTCTCTGCTGCAGTCTGGAAAAGCCCTGAGAGATACAAGACCAGAATGCAGAGCAGCAGGCTGAGCAGGCCATGGGATAGGGTTACTACTCACCACACCTGGGTTTAAATACTATTTGAAATCATTTCAAAAACTTTATTTACATTTACGTCATTTAGCAGACGCTCTTATCCAGAGCGACTTACAAATAGATTTATCTGGGGTTGATTGAACTTGCAGGGCTTACTTTGACCAACAGATTACCTTAAAAAACTGCCATCGCTGACCTTGATCTAGCACTCCAAATAGGCTAAAGAAAATGTTCCACGTATTTGAATAATGTCTAATAGTATTTGAGCCCAGGTCTGCTACTTACTTCAGCAGCTTATAGTAGCCAAAGCGGAACGTCTCCTGCAGCAGCACAGAGAGCACCACCCCGAATATGAGCAGTCCTTTCTGCTGGGAGGCACTCTCTTTGTCGCTGATCTGAACTGTGATGAACCACACTAGTGAAGACAGCAGCAGAGAACACAACCAGAAGAACGCCCTGGGAGAGAGAGAGAGAAAAAAAACCACACAAGTTTCACACTAAGTATAGAAACACTTAAATAAATCAGGATCATCACACACACACACACTAAAATGGACAGAGTTTAGGATAGGAGGAACTTGTCTCCAAAGGGGGATGTCTTAGACACATAGTACTGCTGTATACAAAATAGACACTGGTCAATACACACTCATTATGTATGTGGCTATATGAGAAGTGTACAATGTGTATGACAGGGATACCGTGCTATGTATGTATGTATTACGTTATCTGGCTAATTATCTGGCCTGGGCTCATTAGTACATAAAGGAATTACTGTACTGTGAAATAAAACATTCTACGGGGTGCTCCACAAAATGTAAAAGAAAAACTGTAGTCGCGCATGTGCGACTATTTAGGTTTAGTGTTGGGCTGGAACAAAACCTTGCACGACGAGTAGCTCTCCAGCTAACAGTGGTTTGTGTTTAACATTTGCAGATACTTAACAGAGTAAATAATTATAATACAGTAAAACCACAAGTCCGAAAAATGTGTGACCAATAAGCAAGAGGTTTTGTTTGTGAATTAGCATTAGCCTTTGGGCTAGCTAGTTATCGGTTAGCATATGGCTAACTGCTGTTTGCTAGATGGCTATCCTCCATCCAAATCTAGATAGATAGCAAGCGAACCCTTTTTTTTTAGTTAACGTTACGCCAGCTACTTACCCGGCGATAAGAAATATCACTCGGAGTGGGTCCCTGGCAATAGTAAACAAGAACAGTGCAATGGCAGGGCCGAAAGCGATGAATGTACACCCGAAGAACACAGATGCAGTCATTTTGGGGCTTGGTCCGATTCGACTCAAGTTAGCCTGTTAACAAAACCTCCGACGCCGGGTCCTTCTTCTCTTCAATGGATGAAACAGTGTGTCTTCTCCGAGAGCTTGGATGCTTCTTTACAACCGAAGTAAGCCTGAAGGGTATCTATATAATCTCATTGTTTTCTATTTTATTGTGGGTTTCCTGTTCTGATTGTTTGCAGGCACGTGACTGCAAGAGCGAAGATATTCGACGAACGACAAAAGTTCCCACATAGCCAATATTCACTGGTTGCTTACAGACAATGATAAATGCTTTCAGACAAACATGATGAAACTGAATTCAAATATAGCTATTCATGCGGTAGTTTTATACGTGTGAATTGAATGTCTTTGCCACCATCGACTTTAGAGAAAGATGTAAACAAGGTTTGTATAGGTCGGCTTTCTCGTTTCCTCACTATCTTTGATATGACTCAAAACTCAATCTTCCAACAGCGACATCTACAGTCTTCATAAGGCATTACTTTCTGAGACATCAGAGAGAGTCTTAACCAATGTTATCAACCCACTCTCACTCGTTTGGCAACTTATTTAGATTCAATTTAGAGACCTTGGTATAAAACATAGACCTATGACCAAATTGGGTGGGTTTCTATGTCAAATTGTAGGCTTTTCATGTATATTTAAATACCAGTATTTGCTGAAATTTTTCAAACAGCTGTTTGACCAATATTTAACAGCAGAGGTCACTGTTTGTTCTCCAGCAGATAAAGCCTGAAGCAGCCAGCTGCTGTATCTGTAAATGAACCCCGTTTATAAAACGGCAAGATGATGTGTCATGGTGCATCTGTCACATCCAGCTCTGAGTAACAGAAACACTACAGTACCTGGCCAGATCAGCTAAAATATAAGATCACATCTGCTGATTCCAAATGATATTCCTTACTATGTTTGCCTATGACTTCATATACATTTACATTTACGTCATTTAGCAGAGGCTCTTAACCAGAGCGACTTACAAATTGGTGCATTCACCTTATAGCCAGTGGGATAACCACTTTACAATATATTTTTATTTTTAGTGTCAACTCTATTTGAATGGTCCACAATGTGGCTTTTAAATCTGTATTTTGTATTTTTTAACTAATATATCATTGTGGAGTGACACTTTAATACATGTTTAGAACACTAACATCTGTTACATCAGCCCAGACACCACATCATTAAATAGAATTATATGATCTCTATGACATCTGCACAGGCCTATCATCTTTGATGGATGACACAGCTAATTATTTATTGAATAGGTCTAGCTGTTGAGAGAGAGAGAGAGAGAGAGAGAGAGAGAGAGAGAGAGAGAGAGAGAGAGAGAGAGAGAGAGAGAGAGAGAGAGAGAGAGAGAGAGAGAGAGAGAGAGAGAGAGAGAGAGAGAGAGAGAGATCACCAAAGGCAAAAAGCTTTGCTCAGACATGCTTTAATGTTCAGCACACCGGTCGATCTAGGCTAAGGCCCTGTGGTAACGGCCTAATGTGTGAACTGATAAGCAGCATGTCTGTTTTCCTAAGCAGCGTGTCTGTCTGCCCAACGTCCATCCATCACTGCAGCACTAAGAGGCCTGAGCGCAGAGCGTGACAACAGCACAGCTGAATGCACCTTTTCATTTCTGGCCTAGCGCTTCGGGGGAAGAGAGAATATCAGTGAAGATTCTCTTTCTTACGCCTGTCAGCACGGCTTCCTAGAATATGATGAGAGCGTGTGTGTGTGGTGTGTGTGTGAGGGAAAGAGTGGGAGAACCTATCTGCCCCGAGTGTGTGTGTGTGTGTGTGTGGTGTGTGCATGTCTTTGTGTAGGGTGGCTCTGCCTGCCTGCATATCCTAACTCCCCCTGAGACACCCTCGGAGAGTGGGGTCACGGCCAGAGTCTACCATTATCAACGGAGACCCTGGAGCCATTAGGATGAAGTGCCTTGCACATTACATTTTACATTTTAGTCATTTAGCAGACGCTCTTATCCAGAGCGACTTACAGTTAGTGAATACATGTTATTTTTATTATTATAATTTTTTTTTTAATACTGGCCCCCCGTGGGAATCAAACCCACAACCCTGGCGTTGCAAACGCAACTGAGCTACATCCCTGCCGGCCATTCCCTCCCCTACCCTGGACGACGCTGGGCCAATTGTGCGCCGCCCATGAGTCTCCCGGTCGAGGCCGGCTGCGACAGAGCCTGGATTCGAACCAGGATCTCTAGTGGCACAGCTAGCACTGCGATACAGTGCCTTAGTCAGTTACTCCTGAGTGGCCGCAGTGGTCTAACATGTAAATGTAGAGACACTCTAAAGTAAACCGTCTAGCCAAGCTTTGTATTTAATAGAGCGTTTAATATTAACCAGTCTTATTATTATAATTGTTCTATTGCTTTTTAAGACTGGCCATGTTTTGGTTTTTGGGGGCACTTTGTTGTTTCTAATGTATGTTTTGTTATGAAAGTATTACTTAAGTATTTTATATTTTCGAATGATCATATACATTCCTACCTCATTCAAAAAGCATGTTCCCATGCTATATCGAATGTATAAAATCACATGTGCAATGTACTGGTAGAGCATGGCGTTTGCAACGCCAGGGTTGTGGGTTCGATAAAATAATGTTTGTGCTAACTGTAAGTCGCTCTGGATAAGAGCGTCTGCTAAATGACTAAAATGTAAATGTAAATACTGTATTTTAAGCATTGTTTACAGTAACTGTGAAAAAAATACCAATAAAAAGAGTTGCAAAAAACAAGACCATGTAAGCCCACTGAGCTGAAGCCTAGAGAGTCTTCAAATTTCAGACACGGTTTCACAGCAAACTATCCCTGCAACAATTCAACCAACCAACTTCCCTCCCTCCCTCCCCCTCTCTCTCTCAAACTTCCCCCGCAACAATTTTACATTCTCTCTCTCACAACAATTTAACATTCTGTTTCTCCCTGCCTCTCTCCCTCCCTCTCCAAGTCTCCCGCTCTCTCTCTCCCTCCAAGTCTCCCTCTCCAAGTCTCCCCCTCTCTCTCCCCAAGTCTCTCTCTCTCTCCCCAAGTCTCCCTCTCCAAGTCTCCATTTGCCCCTCCCCAGCTCTCTCCCCAAGTCTCCCTCTCCCTCCCTCCCTCCCTCTCTCTCTCACCTGCTGGTTTTCGTCTGATAGGCTGTTGCCGTACATGAAGCAGCCGCGTTTGGAAGCGTGGCCATGCAGGTCCACGTAATAGGCCACTCCCCCCTCCTGCGCAGGGATTGGTTCCCCGGCTGTGACTACCAGCTCCAGAGGTACTGATGTGGGTGTGGACTCTGAGACGCTCTGCGAATCATTCTCATCTTCACAGCGCCTTCCATCCCCCTGCCTCTCCCTCTTCCCGGTCTCCGTGGTTACCCAGGTGTTCTCCTCCATAACCATGGCGATCTCTGAGGGGGCGGGGTTAGAGTCTTTATCAGCGTTCCGTTGGTTGAGGCTGAGTTCCAGAGGGGTGAGGGGTGGGGCAGGGCTCTGATAGTTGGGTTTTGGTGCTGAGGGGAGTGGGGCTTGAGGTGGGATGTAGGTGTGTGTTTAGAGTGTGTGTTGATGTGTGTGTTTGTGGGTGTGTGGTTGCTGTGCGTGTTGGTAGTGTGGTGTGTGTGTGGAGAGAGAGAAAGAGAGAGAGGTGAGAGAGAGAGAGAGAGAGAGAGAGAGAAAGATAGGCGGATCAGCGAAGAGAGCATCTGCGTCACGCATGAATCGATGCTGGCTCTCTGAACGCAGACTACTCTGCTCTTACTCCTCTCTCCTCTATCCTCCTCAGCCCTCTCTCAGCGTGACTCTCTCCTCCGAACGCTTGCGCTGTGCTCTGCAGACTTCTCCAGATCTACTCCCAGATACCTCCCGCTACTCTACTCCTGAGCTACCTTTAGCTAGACCCATGTGAAAACATTTCAGACTATTTTTCTAGCTTGAGTTAGGCAAATAGCCTAATCATTTCAAAAGTCAAAAACTTTCCAGTTCAATGACAGGTTTTATTTTGCTCACTAAGCACTGGCATAGCACACACAAGCTTTGGGGGCCTGTGTCACTTCCTGTTTGTTCCTTTCGTTTGTCTGATGATTTTACATAGCATGGTTTATGAGTTAAAGAAAAAATTGGTATAAGGAAATGAAGCATTTTAAAAGTAACTGTCCAGTGTTTCCAGATTTCTATGAATCTGAGTGAAATAATGTTCCTTCAAAAAATAACTAATTAAGTATGTTGAAAAGCAGCGTTTCTGTGTTGGAATGGTGTGGGTGTACCTCAACAACAGAATGGTGTGGTCATAAAACATATTAATGTGATCAGACCGATGATTGCCCAGCTCAGCCAATGAGACAGCATGGCATCATGTTATATATCAAGCATCTTTTGAAACGGTCTGTTTGAGATTTGAGGTGGGATTTTTGACGTTTTTTCCTCCAATTTATGCTTTGGCCACAGCATTATGAGTTAACAGAATATTAACTTTTAAAAGTGAGATTTTCACTGGACAGTTACTCTAACTGAATTGTGAAAACGAATTAAGAATGTGTTAACTTCATTACTGAAACGGTGACAATTGAAAACCATGGCAATATGAAAATAAATGTTGAAAACTGTCCCTTTTTTTGTCTGCCTCTGCTTCACTCTGCCTGCTCAACCCAGACCCTTAAACCTGGCACTTCTCAGCTTGTGACACCTGGCGTAGCGTCGGTAGCATCTGGGCCACTGAGTGAGCAGTTGTGGAGCCGAGGGGGGACGTTGTGGCGCAGGGACAGTTGGTGGAGCAAGGGGACAGTTGTGGAGCAGGGGGCAGTTGTGCGAGCAGGGGGTTCCGTTGTGGAGCCAGTGGGTCAGGTTGTGGGAGCAGGGGACAGTTGTGGAGCAGGGGTCAGTTGTGGAGAAGGGGGCAGTTGTGGAGAAGGGGACAGTTGTGGAGCAGGGGACAGTTGTGGAGCAGGGGACAGTTGTGGAGCAGGGGACAGTTGTGGAGCAGGGGACAGTTTTGCTTTTACTCACTTGTGTCTCTGTTCTCCCAGGTTCTGCAGTTTCTCCCTTGGGTGGTTCTGGTGATAGCTGAGGGACCCCTGCTGGTCTATGAGACTGTCCTAACTGGCCTGGGGCGTGTTAAGGTGCCATACAGGTGAAGGCTGCGCAGCTCTGTGGACGTGGCTGGAGGTATGTGGCCTGCATGGTGAAGCTGAGGGGGACAGAGCAATACTGCCACGGTGGCCCGCAGACAGCCGGATGGAGTGGTCCACTCAAAAGTGGGTGAGCGACGGGGCTGAGGTGACTGGAAACGGGCGGAGTGCTGGACCCGTCGTTGCCTGGCAGTCAGGATGTCGGCCCAGTGAAGTGGGGCCACCAGAAGGTCGACCAGGGGATAGACTACAAGAATGGCCCTTGCTGCCTCAGGACAGCATGTGGGAGAGCTGCTAGCTAGCAGGTATTGAAGAACGTTATGTTCAAGGACACTTTGTTGTTTGTTTTTAGTAAATATGGGGGGTTTATTTATTTTTGCTAACCAGAATGCGTGAAACATAATATTGCGTGTGTTCCAGGCCGCCGCCCACATGATGGGATTCTGTCCAGAGGCATGGTGGATCCTTGTTGCAATAGAGCTTATGGCTGAAATGTTTGATGAGAGCAAATAGACTTTGTTGTATGACCAGAGATACTGGATATAATGAGGAGATGCTTGTGTCTCCGCCCCCTAACAATGGGATTCGTTGTCCACAGAGCAGAACGACGGGCTGTCAATCTCCCATCTATTCCTTTCTTTGGATTGGTGGATGAATCTTCTTATTTGAATACTTTTTTGAATTGCCAATTCGATAAGGGGTGTTGACGTCAACCGCCTGTATTCAATGGAGAGTGAGATGCTATGCTAGCCTCATGAATATACCTAGACCATCTTGAATTTCAACAGGGACAACTACGATATAAAGTCTTTTTCTCAAAGTTGCCGGGATTTCACGTGCATCACACTTATATCAATACACTCGTAACAACCTAAGCATTACGAAACTTCTAGTCGATCAAATAAGCATCATGTATCAAAATAGCAATTCATTTTCATCTTGACTAAATTCAAGTCTCTCATTTCCCCCCACACAAAACTCTTCACTTGCTTAATAATTGCTGATCTGCACAGATTTTAGGCGGAGTAAACCCTCTTGCTTCACCTCTTCCTCTCTGGTATGAAGATTGAGAAAATAGCATATCGACGTTTATAGGGATGAGTCTTGTCCTTGAGGCAGAACTGAGCGATTTCTGCTAGATGGGCCAGCTCCAAAGTCAAAATTGGCTATATTGTAAAACTTAATGAACACAAAAATGTGCTTTTTGGTCTTAATTTAAGGTTAGGGTTAGGCATTCGGGTTAGAATTGTGGTTAAGGTTAGGGTTACGTTTAAAATGTGAATGTATGACTTTGTGGCTGTGCCAGCTAGTGACCACACTGCAGAGCTGCTTCCAAAACAAGATTCATGACGAAAAACGCTAACCTGCGTGAAAATAGGGACCCCTGCCTGTTGGCCTGCTTCGCTTCCTGCGCCCCTTTGTTCCTTTGGTTTGTATGTTTGTCCGATTTTTAGTAGCATGGTTTTTAAGTTAAAAGTAAAGAAGCAATTGGTACACAGAAATTAAGCATTTTAACTGAATTGTGAAAACGAATTGAGAATGTGTTAACTTGATTACTGAAACGGTGATGATTGAAAACCATACCTTATGAAAATAATTGTAAAAAAACGGTCATTTTTGTTGTCTGCCTCTGGGTCACTCTGCCTGCTCAATCCAGACCCTAGAACCTGGCACTTTTCCAGCTTGTCACATCTAGGCCTATATAATATTATTAACAGTCCATCAATAATTGTCTGGTGGGTCTCCTACGTTGTTGTCATGGAAGATAACAGAAGCCATGGAAGAAGGAGGGCGCATCCCTTTAATTTTTGGAACGTCTACTTTCTCCAGAGGCGGGAGTGTGCTGTGACTCTGCCAAACCCAATCGCAACGAACAGACATATCAGCATCCGACCACGAAAGGACCCACATATGTTTCAGCAATCATGTAAGAGCAATGCCATACGTCACACCTTTAAAAACTTGCTCCCAACTCATCATGTAGCCAGCTTTATGGGGTTCAAATAAGAGACCACTCCTATCAATTGCAAGAATATCAGTTGCTTCCATTGCGCTGGGGAAAACATCGCACAGGTAAGATGTTTTATGTTGCTTTTGATGGCGAGGTTGAATGTGTTTATGTTTGTTTGGGAAATTAGAATGATTTGTAGAATGTAGCATTGCTCTTTTAATTGCGTTTTGACCTCTAAAGGACACCTGAGTCCTCGTGAAATATAACTAACATTTCCTTGCTTAACGTTTTAGATTTAGTTGTGGTTTTTGCAGTGAAATGTCGTCTTGATTTGGTGCATGACCATAGCATCCTACACCAGCTGCACGCATGTACTGATTCCTTGGTAAACAACATCATAAGCGGTGCCGGTGCTGTCCGTTTCAGCACCAAGGACAGAGCTCGGGCACAGACGCTGTGGCGTAGTTTAAAACAAACTGCATACGCTCCAAATAGGTGGCTTAATTTTTCACAAGCTCTCTGGTTTAGTAGAACTGATCACCTGGGTCGAAAATTCGAATTAATATTTTTTTCCCCCTCTAGATTTCTATAACAGTACATTATTATCAATAGCTATTGAAACTAATAATTATGCTCAAAAATTGAGCCATCAATATTGATCTAATTTAAGCAGAATTCCTAACGCATAGTAGGCTATCAGACAAATATAAAGTATTTCACTTAATATGGAAATCCTGTAAGTGGATTGCAAAGTCAGGGGTTTATAGTTCCAATATTTATTAGCCTATTCATCAATATTCATATTTTCCTTTCTGTATTTATACTCGAGAATGTTGAGGTACCTTTATATAAGTACTGTTTATGGATGGTGAGAGAGTGTGCAATGTGAATTGTAAACAGCTTTGCCATTTACAACTAAAACAGATATTTAGTGACACTGTGACATTTGTATTGCAGGAAGAGAAGAGAAAATGTCTCCTTCCTACGTGTTCTTCCTCTTCTTATGGAGCTCTGTTATTGGAGTCGGACACGGCTGCCCTGAACTATGCGACTGCTCCGACAAATACGGACGCCACTTCGCTGAATGCTCCTTCAAAGACTTGGTTGACATCCCTGAAGGGTTGCCGCCCAACGTGACCACTCTCAGTCTCTCTGCCAACAAAATATATTTGGTGGTGTCGGGCAGCTTCGACAACGTGACCCGAGTCACGTCCTTATGGATGGCCAATAACGAGATAGTCACCATCGAGCCAGGTACCCTGGCGCCCCTGGTCCAGCTGCGGAACTTTGATGTCAGTCACAACAAGATGGTGGACTTCCCTTGGGAGGATCTCCATAACCTCACAGCCCTGCAGCTGCTGAAGATGAACCACAATGAGATGATCCGTCTGCCTAAAGACTCCTTCTCTAACCTCAAGGACCTGAGGTCTCTCCGCCTCAACAACAACAGGTTCACCACTATAGCGGAGGGGACGTTTGACGGCCTGATCTCCCTGTCCCATCTACAGCTCTATAACAACCCGTTCATATGCCACTGTAGGATAAACTGGCTGAGGGACTGGATTCTAAAGACCACCATAACGGTTCTGGAACAGAACTCTATTGTCTGTGACACTCCGGAGCAGTTTAGAGGAGAGGTGATCGTGAAACTGTCTGAGTCGAAGTGCATGGCCCCTAATGTTAGCATAACGCCTGAGCCTAACGTTGACAATACAACGCTCTATGAAGGCACAGTGTTGATCCTGAACTGTGAGATCAAAGGGAACCCAAAGCCAGAGGTTATCTGGAAAATCCACACAAACCGCCAAAGCGTAGAGTACCCTCTGTCAACCAAAGATGAAGAATTAGTAGAATCCAATGAATCTAATGAGGATTCTAAAATGGCAGACGATCCGTTTAAAATGTTCCACAACGGCACTCTAGTCATACCACGCCTTAGTAAAAAGGACAATGGCAACTACAGCTGTTCCGCCACCAATGAGTTTGGTAAAGATGACGATTCACTATCAATAGTAGTAATACCAAAACCACCCCCACCTCCACCTGTTGGAAAAGTGATTGACCCACCAGTTATTATTAATAGGGAGAAAATCCCATCAGGACTTCAACCTGCGATCAAAACCTCTCTTAATAACCCTTTCAAACCGTTCAATATTGATGGAAAGTATAATATCTTCCCAACCCTTCCTCCCTCCATTGAAGTTGACACTGAGCGTACAGAGCAAGTGTCCAGACATCCACCCAGCGCCACTAGAAAATGTACCTTGACCAGTGAGACGCAGTACATCTCCAACCAGGCCTTCAATGGAAGCCTGGAGGATGCCAGGCAGTATACGTTTGACTTTGGAGTCATAGCCTTAGGGGTGTCGGAGACGGAGGCGAAGGTTAGACTCAATCCTCTCCTCATTCCCAAAGACGACACAGACCTCCGTCTCAGAGCCTCAGAGGGCTTCCATTCCAACCACAGAGAGCCTCCCGAACAATCAGCGGTAACCAGGAGAGCCCTCGTGGACTCAGGGCTGTATCTGTGTGTCACCTCAGACCACAGACACTCAGCCATCCAGTGGTCCAGGATGGAAGATGGCGTCAACACCTATCTGTTCCGGGACCTACGCCCCGGCGCCAACTACTCCCTCTGTCTCACCTACGGAGGAGAGGACTGCGAGGTGCAGGTCCTCTTCACCACCAGGAAGAGAGTTCCTAACCTGTTGATCATCATAGTCGTCAGCATCTGTCTCCTCACCGTTTCCACCGTGCCCTTGCTGGGGGCGACCTGCTTCCACCTGGTCTACAAATACAGGAACAAGACCTACAAGCTCATCATGAAGGCTAAAGACCACCAGCACCACATGGAGAGGAACCTAGTGGTCAACTTCAACCTGAGGAACTCATACGCCGAGTCACAGAGGCAGATCACAGCCAGCGAGATGGGGGAGGGAGAGGAGGGAGAGTGGGGGAGTGGGGGAGAGGGGGAGAGAGAGGGGGACGTGGAGGGGAGTGTGGTGACCGAGTCCTTCACTCTGTCTCAGTACAGAGGGAATCTGGATGAGTGTGAGGTGGGGTCAGAGTACAGTGATAGGTTACCGCTAGGGGCGGAGGCTGTTAATATCTCTGGGCACTACAAAGAGCCACACCACTGATCCTGATGTCGTCGTGTTAGTATTTGATAGATAGTCTTGACTAGACAGGTTCTAGTCATCTTCAGTCATGATCACATGTAATGTAAGTCTCACAGTAACTGTTTATCTATCCATGAGAGAAAACCCTATGTGACCTCTATTTCAAAATGTCTGCCATATCAATCGCCTGGATACAGTGTAGACAAAATCATAGGTGCTTTTGAATGGAAAAGTAAAGGAAGGTAGTTTCTTATGTATGCTGTGAAGATTAAGTATAAAAAACAAACATATTTGTAGTAAAATATGTAAACGTCATGTAAAATAAACCCCTCCTGTGTGCTCTTAACAGTGATGTTTCCTGAGACTTGTGACAGTCATTCAGTGTAGTCTGTCACAGGCAAGGAAAAAAAAACTTTTAACTGCATCTAAAATGTCTCTTCTTAAAGTAACAGATGCACTTATGAATGTTTACGTTCATCTATTGTAGGCTATCAATGCTATTTTTTTTATCTATAGTGAATGTCCACAATGTGAACCCTTTAAGCTGTAAATCACAAGCTATTGTTGTAAGTCACTCTACAGTAACCTTTAACCTGGTATTGTGTCAATAAAATATTTTTTTCATTTTAGTCATTTAGCAGACGCTCTTATCCAGAGCGACTTACAGGAGCAATTAGGGTTAAGTGCCTTGCTCAAGGGCACATCGGCAGATTTTTCACCTAGTCGGCTCGGGGATTAGAACCAGCGACCTTTCGGTTACTGGCACAACGCTCTTAACCACTAAGCTACCTGCCGCCCTATATATATGATCCAACCTCTGTCTTCTATTCACTAAAACCCCCCCCAATGCTGCTCAACTGCTGGGAAAACAATCTGATAGTGTAAGATAAGTGTTACATTTATCTTACACTATCAAAATGTAAGTGTTAATATGTGTAAATTGCCTCAGTGTTCATCCTCTGCTGTGTGCCTGAAGTAATAAAGTATTGACAAGGAATGCTTGTTCATTATTGATTTGCAGCTTCTCGCATGGCATGTTATTCCATCTAAAGGGAAATGCCCAAAAGGGGTTGTTGTACTACGAATGAACTGTCTGAATATTGGCGTCTGTGAAATGGGTTTCTATACGCAGTCATCGTGGTTCTTGAAAACATGCTTACACATTTTGTTTTCCCCCTCTGTATTTACTTTAAAACAGTTTTATTTGTTTGAAAATAAGTATCTTTCAAAATAAGAGTCTTAATCACATACTCCCATCTAGGAGAAAAGCAGTTTATTTTTTGCATACTGGATTGTGATGTCAGTTACAACATTTACACAAAAAATAAATTTATCATTGTTCTTGTATATATTTTGAAAGCAAATATCTCAACCTCTGACAACTGCCAAAGGGCAAGACCTTAAATGAAGGGGTGGATTGAGGATGCTAAAACAGAATGTATTCTGTGCCTCATAACCAAACATATGTAACCATTGAGATTGTGTACTATTTCACCATCATGACCTTTACAAAAGCTAAATAATAGACCAGCAAATGTTGAAAATCGACATTGCAGACAACAACATGACACAGAAAGCAGCACACATAGAGATCCATTTCATGTGGAGCCGAACAAACCAAGGCACTTGACTGCACCCTACAGAAAAAAGCTCTGTAGTCAACCGCTACCCTGAAGACCAAGCAGTTGGAATGTTGGGTTCAACAGAGAGAAGCGAGGTCAAAGCATCAGTCCATAAGCCACATAACATCAGCCATGGTCTCAGGTAGCAGCAGCAGCAGCCTCGGTGGCAGCGGCGGTGGGTGTGGCGGCGCCTGCCTCGGCAGCGGTGGGTGTGGCGGCGCCTGCCTCGGCAGCGGTGGGTGTGGCGGCGCCTGCCTCGGCAGCGGTGGGTTTGCCGCTGGCGTCCTTCTTGCTGCGGTTCGTTCCATTCACGAAGCTGTCAGAGGGCTGGAGAAGAAAAATACTTTGTCTTGCAGAGTACAGGAAATTGTAACACACACGCGCACATACACACACATAATAATATAATATATAATAATATAATAATATGCCATTTAGCAGACGCTTTTATCCAAAGCGACTTACAGTCATGCGTGCATACATTTTTGTGTATGGGTGGTCCCGGGGATCGAACCCACTACCCTGGCGTTACAAGCGCCATGCTCTACCAGCTGAGCTACAGAGGACCACACACACACACACACACACAGGTTGCTGGCCTGCTTTTCTACCCTCTATCTGGGCGCCCTACCTGCAGCTGGTAGTGTTTTCTGGAGCCCAGTAGAGATGGGTTGTTGACAAGCGTGTAGAGGAGCTGCCAGCGTGCCCGGACCCTCCTGCTGTTAACCACCTTGTTCTGTCTCTTCTCCTGATTCACCATCTGGATCCCTGAAAGCATGGAGGAGGAGGAGGAGGAGGAGGAGAAGGAGGAGGAGGAGAAGGAGGATATCAGGGCAGAGGGCAGAGCAATAGACTGACACTGGATGGATGGATGGAATTATTTAATCATAAAAAATGTGTTTGCTGTGGTGATATAAATTCCACATTGTGTACTAGTAGGTTCACTCAATGTCATGTCTGGAAAGTGTCTGTGAGGGACAGCAAAGGCCACACCCTTTGTGCAAAACCATGTGTGTGTGTGTGTGTGTATGAGTGTGTGTGTCTATAACAACCTTCCTCTGCATCTCGCATCTTCTGCCCAGCACCTCCGGCCGAGGCAGCCTGCAGTGCCAGCCCACAGAAGGCCTTCATCACAGGGTGAGATTGGCTGACCTCTACCTTCAGGTAGTGGGTGTAATAACAATAAGCTGTGGGAGGGTCAGAGGTCAGAGGTCAGGGATTCAGACATTTGGAGGACTCATATTCAGTGGTGTAAAGTACTTAAGTAAAAATACTTGAAAGTACTACCTAAGTAGTTTTTTGGGGGTATCTGTACTTTACTTTACTATTTATATTTTTGACAACTTTTACTTTTACTTCACTACATTCCTAAAGAAAATATTGTACTTTTTACTCCCAGACAACCCAAAGTACTAGTTACATGTTGAATGCTTAGCAGAGCAGGGAAATTGTGAAATTCACGCACTTATCAAGAGGTCATCCCTACTGCCTCTGATCTGGCGGACTCACTAAACACAAATGCATCTTTTGTAAATAATGTCTGAGTGATGGAGTGTGCCCCTGGCTATCCGTACATTTTAAAAACAAGAAAATGGTGCCGTCTGCTTTGCTTAATATAAGGAATTTTAAATGATTTATACTTTTACTTTTGATACTTAAGTATATTTAAAACCAAAAACGTTTAGACTTTTACTCAAGTAGTATTTTACTGGGTGACTTTCACTTTTACTTGAGTAACTTTCTATTAAAGGTATCTATACTTTTACTCAATTGGGTACTTTTTCCACCACTGCTCATATTCATAAACCGATGTGTTAGGGTTAGGTTTAACCTGTTCACCTGTGTATTTCAGAGCAGGTAAAACATTGATGGAATTGGATCAGGGGCGCATATTTCAGAAATGTATTTCATTACATGGGTTATTGTTAGATGTTGGCTAATGAACATGGTCACCCTACGAGAGAATAATTCACATTCATTTGTTATGGAATAGGGTTAGGTAGTTTAGACAGCACACAACAGCTCACTACCACTTCCACACTCCATCCCCCAGGGGGCAGTAGCAACCTTGTCCAGATGCTGAGTCTGCTTGATAAGCACACCAGGGGCTGCCAATTAGGATGATGGTCAGTCAGTGTCCCAGCTGGCAAACCGTGAGGCTGCTGGTTTTGTTTGGTGGCCATGAGGCCTTTCGTTTGTTTTTTGAGTCTTTAGTTTGGGCATGCCTTTTGGTATTTTTTCATTTTGTACATTTTTATGTTTCGCCACCATCTGAACAAATAATCCGCTTGGACTGACCAACCAAGAGGTCAAGAGAGACAGAGCTGGCTGGCACTGGACCAAAGTAAGGTTGCTATCTCCCCAGGCACATGTCCAGCCAACACGTCTGTTCAGCCAACACGGTCCTCAAACCCTTTATTTCTCACATAGATGCACACATTCATTCAGGTTACAGACGATGTAACTAGGCCTAGGACCCCTAGACAATATCCATTTTGTAACAAATGTACCAGTGGCAGGCCTTTCAAAAAGTAACTATATAATTCCCTGAACTGTATGTTGATAATTCAGACAGCTGATGTTCTGAAAGAGCTGCAAAATCTGGACCCCCTACAAATCATCTGGGCTAGACAATCTGGACCCTTTCTTTCTAAAACTAGCCGCCGAAATTGTCGCAACCCCTATTACTAGCCTGTTCAACCTCTCTTTCGTAACGTCTGAGATCCCCAGAGATTGGAAAGCTGCCGCGGTCATCCCCCTCTTCAAAGGGGGTGACACTCTAGATCCAAACTGTTACTGACCTATATCCATCCTGCCCTGCCTTTCGAAAGTTTTTGAAAGCCAAGTTAACATACAGATCACCGACCATTTCGAATCCCACCGTACCTTCTCCGCTATGCAATCCGGTTTCCGAGCTGGTCATGGGTGCACCTCAGCCACGCTCAAGGTCCTAAACAATATTATAACCGCGATCGATAATAGACAGTACTGTGCAGCCGTCTTCATCGACCTGTCCAAGGCTTTCGACTCTGTCAACCACCGCATTCTTATTGGCAGACTAAATAGCCTTGGTTTCTCAAATGACTGCCTCGCCTGGTTCACCAACTACTTCTCAGATAGAGTTCAATGTGTCAAATCGGAGGGCCTGTTGTCTGGACCTCTGGCCGTCTCTATGGGTGTGCCACAGGGTTCAATTCTTGGGCCGACTCTTTTCTCTGTGTATATCAATGATGTCGCTCTTGCTGCTGGTGACTCTCAGATCCAGCTCTACGCAGACGACACCATTTTGTATACATCTGGCCCTTCATTGGACACTGTGTTAACTAACCTCCAAATGAGCTTCAATGACATACAACACTCCTTCAGTAGCCTCCAACTGCTCTTAAACACTAGTAAAACTATATGCATGCTCTTCAATCGAACACTGCTGGCACCCGCCCACCTGACTAGAATCACTACTCTCGACGGGTCTGACCTAGAGTATGTGGACAACTACAAATACCTAGGTGTCTGGTTAGACTGTAAACTCTCCTTCCAGACTCACATTAAGAATCTCCAATCCAAAGTTAAATCTAGAATCGGCTTCCTATTTCGCAACAAAGCCTCCTTCACTCATGCTGCCAAACATGCCCTCGTAAAACTGACTATCCTACCGATCCTTGACTTCGGCGATGTCATTTACAAAATAGCCTCCAACACTCTATTCAGCAAATTGGATGTAGTCTATCACAGTGCCATCCATTTTGTCACCAAAGCCCCATATACTACCCACCACTGTGACCTGTACGCTTTTGTTGGCTGGTCCTCACTACATATTCGTCACCAAACCCACTGGCTCCAGGGCATCTATAAATCACTGCTAGGCAAATCCCCGCCTTATCTTAGCTCACTGGTCACCATAGCAACACCCACCCGTAGTATGCGCTCCAGCAGGTATATCTCACTGGTCATCCCCAAAGCCAACACCTCCTCTGGCCGCCATTCCTTCCAGTTCTCTGCTGCCAATGACTGGAACGAATTGCAAAAATCTCTGAAGCTGGAGACTCTCATCTCCCTCACTAACTTTATGTATCAGTTGTCAGAGCACCTTACCGATCACTGCACCTGTACACAGCCCATCTGAAATTAGCCCACCCAACTACCTCATCCCCATATTGTTATTTATTTTGCTAATTTGCACCCCAGTATCTCTATTTGCACATCATCTCTTGCACATCTATCATTCCAGTGTTAATACTAATTGTAATTATTTTGCACTATAGCCTATTTATTGCCTTACCTCCATAACTTGCTACATTCGCACACACTGTATATTATATGTATTTCTGTTGTATTTTTGACTTTATGTTTTGTTTTAATCACACTGCTTTGCTTTATCTTGGCCAGGTCGCAGTTGTAAATGAGAACTTGTTCTCAACTGGCTTACCTGGTTAAATAAAGGTAAAATAAAAAAATATGTATATATATATATATACCCGGGTCATAGGATTCAGCGGCGCGGTTGAGGAGGCTGATGTCCATGCGGCCCAGGTGGATGATGTTATAGAGGGCCGTGATGACCATCCTCCAGATGGCTGCTATCAACCCCACCATGATGTTGATCAGGAAGAGCAGGTAGGTCAGAAGGAACAGACTGCCTCTGGAACAACACAGACACGGCACGCATCTAGTTAGTTCTACTTCGGATGGGGTGAATGGTGTTGTAGTTAGGGAGGTACTGGGTGTCCGTAGGGGGGGGGGGGGGGGGGGGCATGTCCCCCTTGGAATTCATTTGAATGTTTTGTCATTATTCATGTTAACATGACATATACAAAAAAAAGAAATCCAGCGTTTCCCAAACTCGGTCCTCTGGACCCCAAGGGGTGCACGTTTTGTTTTTTGCCCTAACACTACACAGCTGATTCAAATGATCAAAACGCTTGACGATTAGTTGATTATTTGAATCAGCTGTGTAGTGCTAGGGCGTAAAAAAATAAAAAATAAAAAATAAAAGTGCACCCCTTGGTGTCCCGAGGACCGAGTTTGTGAAACCCTGGTGTAATCTATCATGTCACTAGTTCTGAGACAAAGTTACAAATAAATAAAGTAAATCATTTATAGTGTACTAGTTTCTTAGTACCTGTTGTTCAAGTCTCGTGTCCCAGCATCCTTTTTGATGAAAGCAAACCTGGCTGTAACGTGCTGTAGAGCAGTCGCCAGTATCAACGTCACCCACACAGGCCTGGAGAGATCAGACACCACAACGTCAACATAATCCATGACTGTAGGGCTCTCATCAACCGGTGAGTATCTCAATCAGTTCAAAAGGGTATTTGTGGTGATAGGAGCTAAGCTGGTCAAATTGTTTCTGTGAAATGGTGCTTGAAAATCAGATAAAAGGCTTCATGGGGCAAGTGTATGATTCCATATTAGCAGGCAGAGCCACCATTGAATGAACATGTATTTTGTCACGGTAGAAGATGCGCTCACCAGGCCTTGGCAGCGACCTGGAAGAGTATGAGGTTCTGGCCATACAAGATGGGGATGATAATGAGAAACACCAACCACACAAAACAGATGAAGAAGACCAGAGTCTGGAGGACCATTCCTGACAACATAATATTACACAGTGAGAGAGAGAGGAATCTAGAATAAGAATATATAACTGCCATCTTGCATAAAATTCCTTTTAAGTAAGTTTAAAAGGAAATTAGGTTGGTAGCACACAGAAATGACAAAGTATTTCCTGAAGAACTATATGATCAAAAATAACCAAAAGTACATGTCTGTTTAATTAGGAATGAAAACCACCATGTTAGGTCAGCGTTAGCCTACCTAAAGAGATGACAGCAGCCTGATATCCAATAAAACCCATCCAGCACACTAGGCCTGTCTGAGATGGACAGACGCTCTTCTGGCAGTTATACATGTTGTAAATATCTCCTCTGTACAAGCCCTGAAGGTTCGATCTGATGGTAGAAACAATAAGAAATAGAATGACTTATGCATTAAAAGGAACACACTTGAAATATCAGTTAGTTTGTATGGTGACATTGTTTCTTGAACGTACAAAAAGAACACAATGTTTGGTGCACAGATGTAGTTACTGTGTTACTGTGTTGGCTGATCAAAGTATTTACCTGTGGAGGATCATGGACCTCATGAGCATGATGAAGGTGAACGAACAGGCCAGGGTCAATCCACACAGGTAACACACTACAAAACATAACGAACAGGCCGGGGTCAATCCACACAGGTAACACACTACAAAACATAACGAACAGGCCAGGGTCAATGTTTATACCAGAAACGTATATATTGGCTGATTATACAATAAAAAAAACATTAAACTAATGTAAATATTATATATAGCTAGCTTGATACAATATAAGCCATAAGAGTTCAGGTCTTATCACCCGACGTTGTCACCCGATGCTGCAGCTCATCTCAGTAAATACAGGACAGATAACCACCTTCCAAGCACCAGGTATAGTGGATGACTATCTGGACCACCTCCATCCTGTCCTCTGATAGAACGATACCAACGCCCTCCAGAAGGAAGGGGAACTTCTCATCTATACCAGCACGGACTATATGGAGGGTGGGAATCACCAGTACAACCAGCAACAGCGCCACCTAGGGGATGGATGACCACATGGCTGTTAGAGTTATTTCTATCAAAAACGGGCATCACAACCAACCTTTGATGTGGATTGTTGCTATGTTCCTTTGTTTTTCGTTATGTGTTGCTGAAATGTGATCGATTCCAAATTAACCGCAGCGTTTGTTACCTGATAAACTGCTATGGAGGACACAAATGCTGAGATCGCCAGCTTTAGTGGAAACCGGAATACTACAAAAAAAAAATCATGGTAAAACAATACTATCATTAGAATATTTTGTAAAAATAAAAGATTAGCAGACAAATTGTCAAAAACACTCAAGACTTACCTTTCTCTGGTGTGTAGATGTAGGACTTGACTGTGTCTGTTATCCTCTCCAACAGTTTGGGTTTATCTGATCTGATAGAGGTACTGAACAGAAACACAATGATGTCAATAACTGCACGCTACAGTCAACACTGTTACAGTATCTTGTTCCTCTCATAATAATAAAACAGTCTGGTCATTCAGTTGAGTATCTTGTGCCTCTCATAATAATAAAACAGTCTGGTCATTCAGTTGAGTATCTTGTTTCTCTCATAATAATAAAACAGTCTGGTCATTCAGTTTAGTATATTGTTCCTCTCATAATAATAAAACAGTCTGGTCATTCAGTTGAGTATCTTGTTTCTCTCATAATAATAAAACAGTCTGGTCATTCAGTTTAGTATCTTGTTCCTCTCATAATAATAAAACAGTCTGGTCATTCAGTTGAGTATCTTGTTTCTCTCATAATAATAAAACAGTCTGGTCATTCAGTTTAGTATCTTGTTTCTCTCATAATAAAACAGTCTGGTCATTCAGTTTAGTATCTTGTTTCTCTCATAAACCCCACCTGATGTTTGACTTTTTCTTCTTTAGAATTAATTTCACGTAGTCTGTGTAGTAGCTGCTGTCAAGGTCCTGAAGCCAAAGGGTATCAGAATCACACTGGTTGATTAACACATAAACACGATGTGTGCATGATCTGATAACACTGACCACCTGTAACACTGTATAGGATCAATCATAAACATGATAGGTGCATGATCTGAAATCATAAACATGATGGGTGCATGATCTAACAACACTGACCATCTGTAACACTGTATAGGATCAATCATAAACACGACGGGTGCATGATCTGACCACCTGTAACACTGTATAGGATCAATCATAAACACGATGGGTGCATGATCTGACAACACTGACCACCTGTAACACTGTATAGGATCAATCATAAACACGATGGGTGCATGATCTGACAACACTGACCACCTGTAACACTGTATAGGATCAATCATAAACACGATGGGTGCATGATCTGACAACACTGACCACCTGTAACACTGTATAGGATCAATCATAAACACGATGGGTGCATGATCTGATAACACTGACCACCTGTAACACTGTATAGGATCAATCATAAACACGATGGGTGCATGATCTGATAACACTGACAACCTGTAACCCTGTATAGGATCAATCATAAACACGATGGGTGCATGATCTGACCACCTGTAACACTGTATAGGATCAATCATAAACACGATGGGTGCATGATCTGACCACCTGTAACACTGTATAGGATCAATCATAAACACAACGGGTGCATGATCTGACCACCTGTAACTCTGTATAGGATCAATCGTTTGGATGCAGTAACACTGTTAGAACTGTAACTGTGATTACCCACTAAGCTACGGGGCGGCAGGTAGCCTAGTATAGAGCCATATGCATATAGGGCGGCAGGTAGCTTAGTATAGAGCCATATGCATATAGGGCGGCAGGTAGCCTAGTATAGAGCCATATGCATATAGGGCGGCAGGTAGCTTAGTATAGAGCCATATGCATATAGGGCGGCAGGTAGCCTAGTATAGAGCCATATGCATATAGGGCGGCAGGTAGCTTAGTATAGAGCCATATGCATATAGGCTGCAGGTAGCCTAGTATAGAGCCATATGCATATAGGGCGGCAGGAGCCTAGTATCAGAGCCATATGCATATAGGGCGGCAGGTAGCCTAGTATAGAGCCCAATATGCATATAGGGCGGCAGGTAGTCTAGTATAGAGCCATATGCATATAGGGCGGCAGGTAGCCTAGTATAGAGCCATATGCATATAGGGCGGAGGTAGCTTAGAAGAGCCATATGCAATATAGGGCGGCAGGTAGCCTAGTATAGAGCCATATGATATAGGGCGGCAGGTAGCTTAGTATAGAGCCATATGCATATAGGGCGGCAGGTAGCCTAGTATAGAGCCATATGCATATAGGGCGGCAGGTAGCCTAGTATAGAGCCATATGCATATAGGGCGGCAGGTAGCCTAGTATAGAGCCATATGCATATAGGGCGGCAGGTAGCTTAGTATAGAGCCATATGCATATAGGGCGGCAGGTAGCCTAGTATAGAGCCATATGCATATAGGGCGGCAGGTAGCTTAGTATAGAGCCATATGCATATAGGGCGGCAGGTAGCCTAGTATAGAGCCATATGCATATAGGGCGGCAGGTAGCCTAGTATAGAGCCATATGCATATAGGGCGGCAGGTAGCTTAGTATAGAGCCATATGCATATAGGGCGGCAGGTAGCCTAGTATAGAGCCATATGCATATAGGGCGGCAGGTAGCCTAGTATAGAGCCATATGCATATAGGGCGGCAGGTAGCCTAGTATAGAGCCATATGCATATAGGGCGGCAGGTAGCCTAGTATAGAGCCATATGCATATAGGGCGGCAGGTAGCCTAGTATAGAGCCATATGCATATAGGGCGGCAGGTAGCCTAGTATAGAGCCATATGCATATAGGGCGGCAGGTAGCCTAGTATAGAGCCATATGCATATAGGGCGGCAGGTAGCTTAGTATAGAGCCATATGCATATAGGGCGGCAGGTAGCCTAGTATAGAGCCATATGCATATAGGGCGGCAGGTAGCCTAGTATAGAGCCATATGCATATAGGGCGGCAGGTAGCCTAGTATAGAGCCATATGCATATAGGGCGGCAGGTAGCTTAGTATAGAGCCATATGCATATAGGGCGGCAGGTAGCCTAGTATAGAGCCATATGCATATAGGGCGGCAGGTAGCTTAGTATAGAGCCATATGCATATAGGGCGGCAGGTAGCTTAGTTATAGAGCCATATGCATATAGGGCGGCAGGTAGCCTAGTATAGAGCCATATGCATATAGGACGGCAGGTAGCCTAGTATAGAGCCATATGCATACAGGGCGGCAGGTAGCTTAGTATAGAGCCATATGCATACAGGGCGGCAGGTAGCTTAGTATAGAGCCATATGCATATAGGCGGCAGGTAGCCTAGTATAGAGCCATATGCATATAGGGCGGCAGGTAGCCTAGTATAGAGCCATATGCATATAGGGCGGCAGGTAGCCTAGTATAGAGCCATATGCATATAGGGCGGCAGGTAGCCTAGTATAGAGCCATATGCATATAGGGCGGCAGGTAGCCTAGTATAGAGCCATATGCATATAGGGCGGCAGGTAGCCTAGTATAGAGCCATATGCATATAGGGCGGCAGGTAGCCTAGTATAGAGCCATATGCATATAGGGCGGCAGGTAGCCTAGTATAGAGCCATATGCATATAGGGCGGCAGGTAGCTTAGTATAGAGCCATATGCATATAGGGCTGGCAGGTAGCCTAGTATAGAGCCATATGCATATAGGGCGGCAGGTAGCCTAGTATAGAGCCATATGCATATAGGGCGGCAGGTAGCCTAGTATAGAGCCATATGCATATAGGGCGGCAGGTCCTAGTATAGAGCCATATGCATATAGGGCGGCAGGTAGCTTAGTATAGAGCCATATGCATATAGGGCGGCAGGTAGCCTAGTATAGAGCCATATGCATATAGGGCGGCAGGTAGCTAGTATAGAGCCATATGCATATAGGGCGGCAGGTAGCCTAGTATAGAGCCATATGCATATAGGGCGCAGGTAGCCTAGTATAGAGCCATATGCATATAGGCGGCAGGTAGCCTAGTATAGAGCCATATGCATATAGGGCGGCAGGTAGCCTAGTATAGAGCCATATGCATATAGGGCGGCAGGTAGCCTAGTATAGAGCCATATGCATATAGGGCGGCAGGTAGCCTAGTATAGAGCCATATGCATATAGGGCGGCAGGTAGCCTAGTATAGAGCCATATGCATATAGGGCGGCAGGTAGCCTAGTATAGAGCCATATGCATATAGAGCAGCAGGTAGCCTAGTAAGAGCCATATGCATATAGGGCAGCAGGTAGCCTAGTATAGAGCCATATGCATATAGGGCGGCAGGTAGCCTAGTATAGAGCCATATGCATATAGGGCTGCAGGTAGCCTAGTATAGAGCCATATGCAATAGGGCGGCAGGTAGCCTAGTATAGAGCCATATGCATAGGGCGGCAGGTAGCCTAGTATAGAGCCATATGCATATAGGGCGGCAGGTAGCCTAGTATAGAGCCATATGCATATAGGGCGGCAGGTAGCCTAGTATAGAGCCATATGCATATAGGGCGGCAGGTAGCCTAGTATAGAGCCATATGCATATAGGGCGGCAGGTAGCTTAGTGGGTAAGAGCGTTGTGCCAGTAACCGAAAGGTCGCTGGTTCTAATCCCCGAGCCGACTAGGTGAAAAATCTGTCGATGTGCCCTTAAGCAAGGCACTTAACCCTAATTGCTCCTGTAAGTCGCTCTGGATAAGAGCGTCTGCTAAATGATGTAAAATGTAAAAAAAAAAAAAAAAAAAGAATACACAGACAGATTAAAGACTCCCTCACATGATCTCACTGACCATTTACAGCTATGCAATCCACAGATTACAGTGAAGTAAACACTGCATTGTGTAAACCTTGAGAGGAATAACACTCCTCGGTCATAATCTGTGCAGGGATATCGTACTAAATCAATTCCATCCAAGCTGCTTATGGTAACCAGACCTTTGGTACATGTATGTGGTTGACTTGTAGATTCATAACTTAAACAGTCTCTTGAAGAGCTGCGTTTTTTGTTTTTACATAAGCATCACGAGCAGTTCTCATCCAGATAGTTCACGAGTAGGACAGTAACCTAAATGCAGGCAGGGATCAGGAAACGTTGATATTGTTGTTATCAAAACCTTAAAAGAGAGACTACAGTGGCTGGCAGGTTCATGACTATACATTCATTGGTCAAAGAGCAGTTCCCTCACCTCAGAACCGTTGGCCTCAGCACCTTTGAGGAACAGTAGCGGGTACTTGACACAGAGGAATCCCAGACAGGCTATCTGTGGGAGACTGGCCAGCAGGGAATAGTACTTATACAGCTGTGGAGACGACAATGGAAAACATATCAAATACAAATGTACAGATTTTTTTACAAATGTGTTATGGTAGATACAACATTTTAAGACACTGTATATAGAAAATGTTTAGCTTGAGATATGAATTCTGTTAAAAATATGATGCAACAAAAAAAAAAGATGTGCCCCTTTTTCCCCCCCCCCACTTTAATATCAGATGATATTACCTCTGGTGTTTTGGGACAGTCGAGCTTCTGCCAGACGAGGACAGCAAAGTGTGTCCAGGAGAGCAGACTGCCCAGCACATAGCCCAGTTTACTGTGGCGCGTACCACAGGCCAGGAGTGGGTAGTACAGGGCAGGCCAGTAGAAGATGGCCACGATCTTCATGTACTCTGGAAGGAGGAGGAACACACAGTCTGCATTCAGTATCACATCAGGTCTTCCCTTCAATGTGTTTATACTATACCAGAAGTCATCATCTGTCTGGAACCTCATCCCGAGGCCTGTTAAAGAGTTTTGGGAGCTTGTCTGGGATAGGAATCAGTTTCCTTCCTGAATTGACCCCCCCCCCCCCCACCCCCGACCCTATTGTACCTTCACCAGGAGTAGGCTTGAACTAACGGTGGATCCTGTGTCTCTCTAGGACTGTTGAGTGAGGGTCACTGTTTAGTGGGATAGGGACACAGCTACTCACCTTTGATTTCCTGAGGGGTGTCTTTGGAGAAGGGCAGGGGGTCTGGAGCCAGGACCAATACAGACAGCTTGCTGAAGACCAGCCCAAACACAGCTACCGCCAGGGCCTTGTGCTGCGTCTGGTCCAGGAAGTTCACTGGACTGGTGGGGGGGCACACAGCGGGAAGAGACCAGAGATAAGACCAAGCATACACCAGAAAATGAAAGTGTCAACAATACTGTGGCACTGTATTACAGAATGGTAACATGTTTAAGTGTTATAAATGGTCTATCGGTATGTTATCGTGATGCGGCAGCCTGAGTTGTTCTTGTAACAGCGGTGTTTTGTGTGGTTTCCCGCTGGCCACAGATGTCAGTTCAACGTCTAGTTTTGATTTACATTTGGTTGAGTTGTCAACTAGCGTGAATTCAAGGTGAAATCAACAAAAAATGTCCCCATGTCATTGGATTTAGGTTAAAATCTAATCCGTTTTCCATGTTGATTCAATGTCATCACATGTAATTTTAGGGTTGAAATTACGTGGAAACAATGTTGATTCAACCAGTATTTGCCCAGTGGGTTGTCATATATTAACAAGAGTTCCTGGTTGCTTCATGTTGATATGTTTGGTAATGACCTGCACTTACCTTGAGATACCAGTTGATCCACTGGTGAAACCCTCACATAGAGTCTTTCTCCTCTTCAGGGCTGCTAGAATCAACACCATAACGAGCTAGGAGACAAAATACTCCATCAGTGCTACAATAGGAACTCTAATTCCTTTCCTTAACTACAGTGCAACTAAAATAATCCTCTAATGTACAGTGCCTTGCTAAAGTATTCATCCCCCTTTGGCGTTTTTTCCTATTTTGTTACATTACAACCTCTAATTTAAATTGATTTTTATTTGGATTTCATGTAATGGACATACACAAAATAGTCCAAATTGGTGAAGTGAAATGAAAAAAATAACTTACATTTACATTTACATTTTAGTCATTTAGCAGACGCTCTTGTCCAGAGCGACTTACAGTTAGTGAATACATTTTTTTTTTTTATACTGTCCCCCCGTGGGAATCGAACCCACAACCCTGGCGTTGCAAACGCCATGCTCTATCAACTGAGCTACATCCCTGCCGGCCATTCCCTCCCCTACCCTGGACGACGCTGGGCCAATTGTGCGCCGCCCATGAGTCTCCCGGTCGCGGCCGGCTGCGACAGAGCCTGGATTCGAACCAGGATCTCTAGTGGCACAGTTAGCACTGCGATGCAGTGCCTTAGACCACTGCGCCACTCAGGAGATTATACAAAATAAATAACGGAAAAGTGGTGCGTGCATATGTATTCACCCCCTTTGCTATGAAGCCCTTAAATAAGATCTGGTGCAACCAATTACCTTCAGAAGTAACATAATTAGTTAAATAATGTCCACCTGTGTGCAATCTAAGTGTCACATGATCTCAGTATATATACACCTGTTCTGAAAGGCCCCAGAGTCTGCAACACAACTAAGCAAGGGACACCCCCAAGCAATGAAGGCCAATGAGCTCTCTAAACAGGTCAGGGACAAAGTTGTGGAGAAGTACAGATCAGGGTAGGGTTATAAAAAAATATCAGAAACTTTGAACATCCCGCGGAGCACCATTAAATCCATTATAAAAAAATGGAAAGAATATGGCACCACAACTAACCTGCCAAGAGAGGGCCGCCCACCAAAACTCACGGACCAGACAAGGAGGGCATTAATCAGAGAGGCAACAAAGAGACCGAAGATAACCCTGAAGGAGCTGCAAAGCTCCACAGCGGAGATTGGAGTATCTGTCCATAGGACCACTTTAAGCCATACACTCCACAGAGCTGGGCTTTACGGAAGAGTGGGCAGAAAAAAATCATTGCTTAAAGAAAAAAATAAGCGAACACGTTTGGTGTTCGCCAAAAGGCATGTGGGAGACTCCCCAAACATATGGAAGATGAGACTAAAATTGAGCTTTTGGGCCATCAAGGAAAACGCTATGTCTGGCGCAAACCCAACACTTCTCATCACCCCGAGAACACCAGCATCATGCAGCATCATGCTGTGGGGATGTTTTGTATTGGCAGGGACTGGGAAACTGGTCAGAATTGAAGGAATGATGGATGGCGCTAAATACAGGGAAATTCTTGAGGGAAACCTGTTTCAGTCTTCCAGAGATTTGAGCCTAGGATGGAGGTTCACCTTCCTGCAGGACAATGACCCTAAGCATACTGCTAAAGCAACACTCGAGTGGTTTAAGGGGAAACATTTAAATGTCTTTGAATGGCCTAGTCAAAGCCCAGACCTCCATCCAATTGAGAATCTGTGGTATGACTCAAACATTGCTGTACACCAGCGGAACCCATCCAACTTGAAGGAGCTGGAGCAGTTTTGCCTTGAAGAATGGGCAAAAATCCCAGTGGCTAGATGTGCCAAGCTTATAGAGACATACCCCAAGATTATTGCAGCTGTAATTGCTGCAAAAGGTGTCTTCAAAGTGGTAGGCATGTTGTGTAAATCAAATGATACAAACACCCAAAAAATCCATTTTAATTCCAGGTTGTAAAGCAACAAAATAGGAAAAATGCCAAGGGGGGTGAATACTTTCGCAAGCCACTGTACCTTGTTGTCAAGCCAGAGGGCCTGAAATAATATGGGGAAACTCCTAGAAAACGACCTTCTGAATGCTACCTCACCATTGTCTCATTATTTTTGATGAGCCCTGGTAAGTGGAGATGCTGACCCACCCTTCCAGCCTGGTCTCATAGACTAGCCGTAACATAGGAAATGAAAATCAGGAACACTCAAATGAGTATGATATGTTACGTTTGGTATGGTTACATAAGACAGAAGGTTGCTTACAGCAAAAACAAAAGGAGCGTGGTTGGTCGGGGTGGTTGGTTGGGGTGGATGCATAACGCGTCGCGTGTTCGAATCTCATCACAGACAACATTACAAATGTATCTAATTAGCAACTTTGCAACTACTTACTACTTTTGAGCTAATTTGCAACTACTTAGCATGTTAGCTAACCCTTCCCCTAACGTTAGCCAACTAGCCACCTAGCTAACGTTAGCCAAAACAAATTGGAATTCGTAACATATCATACGGATTGTAATTCGTAACATATCATAATCACAAATCAATACCATACCAAACGTAACATATCATACTAATTTGAGTGACGGATTATCATTTACTATGTTACATCTACCCCTGAGTCCAGGTTGACCCTTCATAGTGCTCTGAGTGAATAGCCCTACAGTATGTCAGTTCAATTACAATTCGTGCTATTGGTTTCCTCAGCGAAGTGGAAGCCAGCCCTCTACCACAAACAATGGCATATATCACTGATGCTGTTGAGGGAGATGGCTTTCTGAGGTCATGGTGGGTAGCACAAATGTACTGATTGAACATCCCCTTTAGGACATGGCCTATAGTCATCTGTACTGACTGAACATCCCCTTTAGGACATGGCCTATAGTCATCTGTACTGACTGAACATCCCCTTTAGTACATGGCCTATAGTCATCTGTACTGACTGAACATCCCCTTTAGGACATGGCCTATAGTCATCTGTACTGGCTGAACATCCCCTTTAGTACATGGCCTATAGTCATCTGTACTGACTGAACATCCCCTTTAGTACATGGCCTATAGTCATCTGTACTGACTGAACATCCCCTTTAGGACATGGCCTATAGTCATCTGTACTGACTGAACATCCCCTTTAGGACATGGCCTATAGTCATCTGTACTGACTGAACATCCCCTTTAGTACATGGCCTATAGTCATCTGTACTGACTGAACATCCCCTTTAGGACATGGCCTATAGTCATCTGTACTGACTGAACATCCCCTTTAGGACATGGCGTATAGTCATCTATACTGACTGAACATCCCCTTTAGGACATGGCCTATAGTCATCTGTACTGACTGAACATCCCCTTTAGGACATGGCCTATAGTCATCTGTACTGACTGAACATCCCCTTTAGGACATGGCCTATAGTCATCTGTACTGACTGAACATCCCCTTTAGTACATGGCCTATAGTCATCTGTACTGACTGAACATCCCCTTTAGGACATGGCCTATATAGTCATTCACTGTTTTCATTAATTCCAAACATTCATATTTGATATTCATTTGACCTGTGAACACTACTGTTGTTGGTAAATGTGTTGCATTTCGTATTTGTATTGGATGTGCATCTTTGTAATTACATGGCTCATTTGCAAAAGAGACCTTGGTCTCAACATGACTCCCTGTTAAAATAAAGGTTAAATAAAATGTTGTATACAAAAAAAAGAAAATCACCAGGTGGAAATATTGAAATAGACAGTAGGCCTGATACTTACAGATACTGAAGTGATACATATGTGAAACAGCTGGTCATCCGCTGTGGGGTCACATGGGAGAATAACTCTGAAACAGTCATACAACACAAGCCGAGCAATGGCCGTCAGAAACGATTTATGCAGACCAAAAACAAACTCCCTAGAAATCCTGTTCAGCTTGACTGTGCTCTCAGTAGCGAATCTGACAAGAGTTTCGCCTAAGAACTGAAAATATGCCATTTGTAATGGATATTCAATCATGGATGGGAAAACCGGAAGAATTGAAAACCAGCAATACTTTGGCCCCTGCGGGTCAGTGGTTGAGAAACCCTGATCTTAGATTCAATTAAATCGTAATAACATTATGACACAATCCCCATAATTCATTGCACTGATCCTGTGTGACTCAGTTTGTAGAGCATGGCGTTTGCAACGTCAGGATTGAGAACGCGCTTTCCCCGCTGTGCGGCAGCCACCCATACGAAAACGTCTGTACAAACCGTCGGCTAAATAGTATACTATTTACTGACCCCATACTTACTCTTTTGGAGGTCTGGTGGGTTCCATATTGTTTGAGTACCAGTCTGAGTAGTCATAGTAGTTATACAGTTCCTCTTCTACCACCTTGGTCTGATTCATCTTGGCCCCTTCTCTGTTGCTATAGTCCACGCTGATGGGTGAAAACCAGAGGAAATCCACCTGGCCCCTCGATCATCAAACCCTCTCTCCAATGCAGCTATGTTCCAACGCAGCACAGCACTTCCCGATCAATAAATACTGATTAATTGATTATTTGTATTGAGAGTTGTGGCTCACTCCACTGTGTGTTGGGTTAGCTTTGAGTTTCAGGTTCCTGCAGCGTCTGAGGTACAGAGAGACCCCTGTGTCAGGGATCCAGTTCTGTTCTCCCGGCTGTACTGGAGCGGTGTGATGTGGCAGGACCAAGGTTTAGTTTAGAACACCCTTACCCTAACACATTCCACCACACACTAACCACATAACACCCCAGATTACTACAGCACACAAAGAGAGGAGGGAGGGAGGGAGGGAGGGAGGGAGGGAGGGAGACCAGGGCCGAGGGTGGGATGAAGGTGGCCTCTAGTGACCTCAGTTTCGTGATGGAGATGGCGAGCCAATAATAAGGTTGCGTCGGTGTTGGTGTTGTTTTCGTGGAGGTTGTTCCTCCCGCAGCAGACAGGCCATGTGAGGTGGTAGAAAGGCCTGCTAGTTGGCTCTCTTCCTTCACTGACATCTCATACTGTCCTTCATGGCTCAGAGATCTTTATAATGAAATTGGCTGCAGAGACGTTTGTATTTTGTATTTATTATAATTAAGGCAGTTCATACCATTTTTTAAAAACATTACAACACATTCACAGATTGCACAACACACTGTGAGCCCTCAGGCCCCTACTCCACCACTACCACATATCTACAGTATCAAAAATCCATGTCTACGTGTGTGTATAGTGCGTATGTTATCATGTGTGTGTGTATGCATGTTTCTCTGCCTATGTTTGTGTTGCTTCACGGTCCCCGCTGCTCCATAAGGTGTATTTTCATCTGTTTTTTCAATCTGATTTTACTGCTTGCATCAGTTACTTGATGTGGAATAGAGTTCCATGTAGTCATGGCTCTATGTAGTACTGTGCGCCTCCCATAGTCTGTTCTGGACTTGGGGACTGTGAAGAGACCTCTGGTGGTATGTCTTGTGGGGTATGCATGGGTGACCGAGCTGTGCACCAGTAGCTCAATCAGACAGCTCGGTGCACCCAACATGTCAACACCTCTCATAAACACAAGTAGTGATGAAGTCAATCTCTCCTCCACTTTGAGCCAGGAGAGATCGACATGCATATTATTAATATTAGCTCTCTGTGTACATCTAAGGGCCAGCCGTGCTGCCCTGTTCTGAGCCAATTGCAATTTTCCTAAGTCCTCTTTTGTGGCACCTGACCACACGACTGAACAGTAGTCCAGGTGTGACAAAACTAGGGCCTGTAGGACCTGCCTTGTTGATAGCTACTGTTGTATCAATATGTTTTCACCATGACAGTTTACAATCCAGGGTTACTCCAAGCAGTTTAGTCACCTCAACTTGCTCAATTTCCACATTATTTATTACAATATGTAGTTGAGGTTTAGGGTTTCAGAATGATTTGTCCCAAATACAATGCTTTTAGTTTGAGAAATATTTAAGACTAACTTATTCCTTGCCACCCATTCTGAAACTAACTGCAACTCTTTGTTAAGTGTTGCAGTCATTTCAGTCGCTGTAGTAGCTGACATGTATAGTGTTGAGTCATCCGCATACGTAGACACTATGGCTTTACTCAAAGCCAGTGGCATGTCATTAGTAAAGATTGAAAAAAGTAATGGGCCTAGACAGCTGCCTTGGGGAATTCCTGATTCTACCTGGATTATGTTGGAGAGGCTTCCATTAAAGAACACCCTCTGTGTTCTTTTAGACAGGTAACTCTTTATCCACAATATAGCAGGTGGAGTAAAGCCATAACACATACGTTTTTCCAGCAGCAGACTATGATCGATAATGTCAAAAGCCGCACTGAAGTCTAACAAAACAGCCCCCACAATCTTTTTATCATCAATTTCTCTCAGCCAATCATCATCATTTGGTCATATATACTTGGATGTGTGGTGTCAGGAATTGTTGCTGGCATGTCATGCCTACGTTTGCTAATCTTGGCAATAAAAAAATAATTAAATTAGTTGGCAATATTAGTTGGTTTTGTGATGAATGAGCCATCTGATTCAATGAATGATGGAGCTGAGTTTGCCTTTTTTCCCAAAATGTCATTTAAAGTGCTTCAAAGCTTTTTAGTATCATTCTTTATGTCATTTATCTTTGTTTCATAGTGGAGTTTATTCTTTTTATTCAGTTTAGCCACATGATTTCTCAATTTGCAGTACATTTGCCAATCGGTTGTGCAGCCAGACTTATTTGCCATTCCTTTTGCCTCGTCCCTCTCAACTATACAATTTTTCAATTCCTCATCAATCCACGGGGATCTAACAGTTTTTACAGTGATTTTCTTAATGGGTGCATGCTTATTAGTAACTGGAATAAGCAATTTCATAAATGTGTCAAGTGCAGTGTCTGTTTGCTCCTCGTTACACACATTAAGCCTGTCAGCCAGGTAATGTCCTGTAATTCCTGTCATAATGATTAATGATGGTTCACTTTATATCAACATAAAGTTTAAATAAATTCATCGGACAACCTAAGACTGTACCTGTGTTGCCATTATCTGACAGGTAACATTGAACAACAGCTCAGATGTCACGCCCTGACTCAGGGGACTCTTATATGTTGAGTCAGGGTGTGTATATTCTTTGTTGTGTATGTTCTATGTTGTACGATCTAGTATGTATGGTTCTATGTTGGCCGGTGTGGTTCCCAATCAGAGGCAGCTGTCGTTCCGTTGTCTCTGATTGGGGACCATACTTAGGCAGCCTATTGGCACTAATGGGTTGTGGGATCTTGTTCCGTGTAAGGTTTGTTGTTCTGTACTACCTTTGGACTTCACGTTTCGTTTCCTTTGTTGTTTTGTCGTGTTGTTTATTACGTTAATAAACATGTACGCATATCATGCTGCGCCTTGGTCTGACCCGTCCTTCAACGAACGTGACAGAAGATCCCACCAGACCTGGACCAAGCAGTGTGCCGAGGATGGACTTGGCGGGAGATAAGAGAGGATCTGGCAAGGAAGATGGAGGCCCTGAAGGGGATCAGGGTGGAGAGGCAACCCCAAGAAAATGTTGGGGGGGGGCACACGGTGTGGACGACGAGGCAGCAGGAGGCCGCGATAGGGCGGATCTGCTGGTTAGGAGAGGAGGCCACCAGATTACGGGGGCTATTGGTTCAGAGGGAGCAGGAGGTATTCGGTCAGAGGGAGGCGCTACAGGAGGCTAGAAGGGAGAAGGAAGGTGTAGAGGCACGGCGAGAGGAGCTGGTTAGGCAGCAGAAGGAGCGGGGGTTAATAAAGGAACCCAGTCCCGCTCCTCGCACCAAGCAAGTGGTGTGTGTCGCCAGTCCGGTCCGGCCCGTTCCTGCTCCTCGCACCAAGGCAGTGGTGCGCGTCGCCAGCCCGGCCCGGCCCGTTCCTGCCCTTCGCACCAAGCCAGTGGTGCACGTCGCCAGTCAGGTCCGGCCCGTGCCTGCTCCTCGCACCAGACCAGTGGTGCGTTTGTCCAGTCCGGCACGGCCCATGCACGTTCCACCGGTGCCTAGTCTGGCACCGGTCAGCTGCTCCACTCCGGAGCCAGAGCATTCCGCTCCACCGGTGCCTAATCTAGTTTCGGTCAGCTGTTCCACTCCGGAGCCAGAGCAGTCCGCTCCAACGGTGCCTGATCCAGCTCCGGTCAGCTGCTCCACTCCGGAGCCAGAGCAGTCCGCTCCACCGGTGCCTGATCCAGCTCCGGTCAGCTGCGCCACTCCGGAGCCAGAGCAGTCCGCTCCACCGGGGTCCAGTCCAGCTCCGGTCAGCGGCTCCACTCCGGAGCCAGAGCAGTCCGCTCCACCGGTGCCCATTCCAGCTCCGGTCAGCGGCTCCAGTCCAGACCATGACGTCAGCCCCTCTCCAGGTTCGGGGTCTCCCACACCAGGGTCCAGACAGGGCCTGGCGTATCATGAGGGGAAGTAGCGCGCCGAGGTCCAGACCAGACCAGGGGCGCAACTGGGAGGCGGAGAGTAAGTGGTCGTTAAGCCCCGAGTCGGATCCGCCTCCGAGGCGGAATGCCCACCCGGCCCCTACCCTGTTATGTTTATGTTGTGCGGTCGGAGTCCGCACCTTTGGGGGGGGGGGGTACTGTCACGCCCTGACTCAGGGGACTCTTATATGTTGAGTCAGGGTGTGTATATTCTTTGTTGTGTATGTTCTATGTTGTACGATCTAGTATGTATGGTTCTATGTTGGCCGGTGTGGTTCCCAATCAGAGGCAGCTGTCGTTCGTTGTCTCTGATTGGGGACCATACTTAGGCAGCCTATTGGCACTAGTGGGTTGTGGGATCTTGTTCCGTGTAAGGTTTGTTGTTCTGTACTACCTTTGGACTTCACGTTTCGTTTCCTTTGTTGTTTTGTCGTGTTGTTTATTACGTTAATAAACATGTACGCATATCACGCTGCGCCTTGGTCTGACCCGTCATTCAACAAACGTGACATCAGAAAAACAGCTCTGAAAATCACAGTGTTCCAACTGACCAGATCTCTCAGTGAGATTGAGCAATACGTCACGACTGTGCTGCAACGTGGTTTAACCTGCTCGCTTCACACTGCCTGTTACTCAAAGAGCTTAGCTTTTCATAAGATGAAAAATTCCTGGTTGAAAGACTCTTAATTTAACAGGGGCTGGCTTTGTGCTGTGAGGGTTGATCTCAGAGCAAGGGGAGAGAGAGAGAATGTTTACACGTGAGGGAAAGGTTCTGAAACACTCACTTGTTTTTACACTGAATGATGGCATCCTAGTGGTGTTGTCTCTGAGCTTTCTGCTGTATTGACTGTCATTATTTCTTCCATCCAGAATATAGTGGCTGTAAAGAGCCTCCCTGAGCCCTCCTTAGCCCATGGTTTACTAGTTGTGTATTTAATGGTCTATTACTAGCAGGCAACGGAAAGAAGCAACTAGGAAATCTACCTCTATCTCTGCAGTTTTAATGAATGAAACCGGGTCAGACGTCTACCTCTGTCTCTGCTGTTTTAATGAATGGAACTGAGACAAACAAACTGGACCTTTTTTAATGAGCTCACTAACAGGCTGTTTAAAAAAAGCTACTATAGGTTTTATGCATGTGCATATGTTGCATTTTGGGTCCTCGTAAATGTCACGCTCTGGCTCCGGGACTGTGTATTTTGAGCCAGGGTGTGTTCATTTGGTTGTGTTTGGTATTGGTTGTGTTGTATTTGGTTGTGTTTCCTTGTTTGGTCGTGTGACTCCCAATCAGTGGTAACGAGTGTCAGCTG